GACTGTTTCAAAAAGTGGAAACACCGTTGAAATAAGTGTATACGTTGCGGAGGAGACTACTTTGAAGGGGACCCTGACAAATATGTGAAGTATGTGAAGTATTTTTTTGTAATAAATAAAGTTCGGGAACTTTTTGAACAAACCCTCGTATTCTTATGTTTCTTCTAATTGAAAGTAAAAGGGAACTCCCAATAATTTAGAATTTTTTTTATAGCGATAAGAATAATATTAACTATATATACTCCAGTGAAATCCTGTGAAATATTATTAAATAATTTTGCTTTTATTTTTTATTAAGCAGCTGCAGTGTCCGTATGCGATTTAATAGAAATAATAGTAACAAAATTTATTAATTGAAAGAGCCGACAGGGTACTCTGAAGAAGAAAATGTCTAGGGCCCCAAAGTGGGTTGATCCGGCCCTGGTAACGGATGATCACCTTGTTAGAGTATGAAGGACAAATTTATATTCGAATATACAATAGCACATTTTATCATTGTTTTTCACATGTAGTATAGAAATTTGTAATAATATACATAATGCGGTATAATAAAATATTAATTTTAATTAATTCAAAGTACGTAAAAATTGAAAATACAAGGTAATCGCACAATACGTATTTATATTTTAGAAAATACAAGGAAAGTGGCGTTTCCACGACTTTCATGGATTGTATGCCACTGTAATATATACAAACTTTCAAATTTTCAGTTTTATTTGCGATGTCTTTTTACAGTTTTAATACGTTTGGCCTTACACATGTTCTTTTGGAAAAAGTCCGATATTGCTTGCCATATTTTTTCATAAATTTATTATACCACTATATCATAGATACACGTCAGCATAGTTTTTTTTTAAACGAGTTTTGCCCGTTGACTTTATGAACCGTAAATTCCGTGTTAATGACAGTAACGATTCGTCAGTTATTTGATGATGCTCGGCTGAATGTTTAGACAATTTTTTATGTATAAATAGAAATACAAATCATAATTTGAATTATATTTTTATCCGATTTTTTTCGAATTTTTGATCAATTTTATGTCTGTTTTATCCTCAAAAAGTGATTAACTTTATCATTTAATCCATCAAATCAGATGGCCAAAGTGACAAGGAGCCAGACTGTGTTCTGGAGAAACTGTAATCGGGTACGGAAATTTTTCCCGAACATTTCAGATCTCGACTCTATTGTAGACCTGTCAAATTCATTACAGGCATGTAAAAATGCCTTACTAGTATCTACAGAGAGAAAGAGTAAATATGAAAAAATTTATTAATTAAAACTATGGTATATCAAAATAACTTTAATATACTGTACCATTTTATTTATTAGACATTCATGTTTTAAATTAGTATTGAATGATATATCTCATTAAATTAATAAAATATTTTAAAATTAATTTCAGGTAAGTATGCCAATACATTGTATGAAATCTATGATATTATGACAATGAATTATTTGTAGTAATAATAATATATAAATTTTGGTTCCTTTTATTTACCTTGAACTAACTTTCTTTATGTACGAGAAATGTGCAGTAGAGCGTTTCTAAATTAACCGCTTCAGAGCATTCAACCGTTTCTAAAATCTCAGCATAACATTTTTTTTTTGTTTTGCAATTGTAAAACAACTTACGATTCTGGTTACGAATAAATTAAAACAATAGAAAATAATAGTAATTAAATACTAAGAAAATTATACATTCGATATTTTTCTCTTTTAAGTTGGTTCCGAATTTAAATGTAAAGCTAATTCTAACTTCAAATTAAGTTGTTTTTTGGTTCATTAACTCTTTTTTTCCTCTAAGAATATTAAAAGAGATAACAAGAAAAAAGACAGAGTGGTATTGTAATTTTACTTTTAAAAAACAAGTTCGTTTTAATATCTAATCAAATTGAATAATTTTAAACAAAGTCACTTGATCGTCATTTTATGGGAGATCAGTTATATTTCTAGCAAGTTTGAAGTAAAATTTTAAAATTAATATTTGAAAGAAAATATATATATATATATAATTTATCACATTTACTCTTTCGTCTTTAACAATAATCATGTAGCAATACTTTTATAATCATTTTCAATTATTTATCATTTCATTTTTATAATACAGGTTTCTGAAATTATAGGAATATAGTACAAAGTTCTTATTTTCATTAATATAAGATGTTTTAAAAATGCCGTACAACAAACAATTAATTTCTAATGAAATCGTTATATTTTGCTTCAATTTTATTTTAAATTGAAAAAATAGTCTGTTCGTTCTCAGAAACTCTCTGATGACGACACACTCATGTGACTAGTTGATTTAGAATTTAAATAATGTTATTTTTAAAATTGTTGATTTTTATATATTAAAAAATATTCATATTTATATTATATTAAATTATTATTAACTAAAATAGAAATTTATTAAATTAAAAATAATAAATATTTTTTAAAACTTTATATATTAATAATGTTAGTATTCGTAATTTATGAAATTATTATCGATTGATAAACTTATTTTCGTACTTTAATTTTTAAATTATATGAAAATTTAGAAATTTTTAACAAATTATTTTGTTAAATATATTAAAAATTAAACGATAATTTGAAATAATTATAAAAATTTAATAATCTTCGTTTAAATGGATGTTTAAGTTTTCCGCTTTCAAAAACTCATCACTGAACGACATCTAGTTGCAACGAACTGAATTAGAGAAAGAATGTCCAGGTGTCATGTCCAGGTGAAGACATCATAGAAACGGTTAAGTCTCAAATCTCCGAGGTTGTCGCGTTATAATTTTATTCTTTTTTTTTAAAAAAAAGATGAATTCTTAAACTAATTAAACAAGTATTAAAAATGAAGTGTGTAGTTTAAACGGAATAATCTAGCCTGTTACTGGCAATGGCCTTTCTTTGCCCAGTCAGAATCAGAAGAGGAAAGAGGAAGAAAGGTTTGAAATTTTGATTATTTTTAAAAAAATTCATATGAATATTAATTATGAATCTGTCTATATATAAATAAATCAGATATCATTAACAAAACACAGTAATATATTAACTATTTGATGTATGATGAAGTTAAACATGAGAATTATATAGTGAAAAATATGATTTTGTGAAGATTTTGTAAAGTGTTAGTAAATTAAATACAAGAAACAACTTATATCCTCTATCACAAAGTATTATTGTTCATTCTTTTTCAAATAGGCAAGTTATAGTTAAACTTTTGCTATTTTCATTAAAGTTCAGAATAAATAAAATACAGTTTAATTGAATTAACAATAGCACAGTTCCACTCCAACAGTTCTTGCTAAATTATTATTCATATACTTACATTTATATATTAGCATAATGCAATTTGCACAGGTTCTTTAGCTTTTACAGTGTATAGTTTCTACTGCATTTATTTGGTTTTAATGGAAATAAGAAATCACATAGCATACATTAATATAATTAATAGGCCTTCATATTATATATATGTAGATCACATGTGAAATGTTACAGTATAAAACAGGTTGCAAAGTGAAATATTTATAGAATGCTTGCTTAGCAGAATGTTGTCTTAAATAGCTAGAAGTGAACTTTGAGATTTTTATTTAAAGTCTTAAATAATTGATATTTACTCTTATTTGTATTGATAATTTGTAGAGTTTTTAATAATAATTGGAATTGAATCTTGTATGTAAATCTTTAAATTATTGACTTGCTTATAAAAACAGAATAGTAACATTTTTATTGCTTATTAAATTACTATTAAATAAAAATAAAAATTTTTATGAATAATTCACGTATAAATTTAACATTCTTGTAATAAACACGAGTTCCAGATAGTCATATAAAATCTTAATTAATATTATATTAATTATATCTTATAAGATGTAAAATTGCTAATCTTAAACATACTCATACAAATTAATTAATATTACATAAATTTATTTTGCAATGAAATCCGGTTAATATTTTTGCAAAATACAATTACTTTATAATTAACCAAATATTTTAGGTAGAATGAAAGTAAGTGTATTGCACCTAATATGTAATTTTACAGTTAATGGTAATTTAATTAATAAACATAAATATTTTTAATAATTTCACTAACTGTTAATTGACAGATAATTGACTGTTAATTGTTAAGTTACAGATAAAATTTTATTGATATTTTAATATTTACATATCCTCATATTTCAAAATACTGTATTTAATCAAATTTATTATTGAATAATTCTTTTGAATAATAATATACTGTTAAGGAAATTAAAAAAATATAAGTAATAAATATGACAAAGAATGGTTAACATTTCAAATAAGTGTAAGTTCAATTTTCACTGTTTAATCTAGATCACAATTAAATGCTTATAAAAGAATTATTATTGTGCATATATTTTTATTTTTGTAAAGTTATAATAGATATCAGTAGTTTCCAAAGTTTTTTGATTCTAGGTACCCTTGCTGCTAAATGCAGATTTTTCCAAGGCACTCTGTCAAATTCAACAAGTACATTATACAAATTCTAACATTATAAAAATTTTATAACATTTTGTGGCATTCTGTGAGGAAGCTGCAGTGCCCTAGGGTGCAGACTTTGGGAACCGCTTATATATATATATTTCAGAATAATAATAATATTCTATTTTTCTTAATTTTAAATTCAGTTCATTCCAACTTGTTTAACATTGATCATTTCAGATAAACATTGAATTTATTATTTTCAACAGCAGTTTTATATAATTTGATATTCATGAAAAATAAAGAAACAATGTTTAAGAATTTAAAAATGTATATTAATAAACACATTTTCCATGTAAACATTCTTGATATGTTACTATTAAGAATTTTCAAATTTACTTTATTCTTAAGTTAGAATGTGTATTAAAACTTTATATATAATCAAACGTAAAAAATTATAGATATATTTTTAATATAAACCAATGTAACTGTAAAATAATCATGATAGATTATCTGTTTATTAAAGCTTAAAATGCATTTTTTTAATATTAATAATGATAACATTATAAAATACCATGCTATAAAACAGTAGTTATTTTTCTGTGAATAACATTTCCAGATATTAATTTTTTTCAAAAATTTTGTTTCCATCAGCAAAGACTTTAACTTAAACCTGAAAAAAGTAGAATTTTTAAACAAAGCTAAATTAATTATATGAACCGTAATTTCTTAACTTTACACTTCTGAAAATTAAAAGCTAAATTAAAAGTTATTGATAACTGCAGTGTTTAACAACAAAACAGAATTTTTTAAAAGTATTTAATCTTTTATAATATAATAGATAGTATAAAAAAAAATTTCTGTTAGTAATTACCTAATTGACAATAGCCTAATGTTAGAATTTCTAATAAATTTTTTACATATATTTCATTTCAGATAAATTATGTTTGGTATTATTAGCTAAAAAACACTTGCAGTTTACAACAAATTTCTTGTTTCTCTATTGCTTTCTTTCTTATAAATTATATATTGAAAGATAATAAGATTAAAAAGATCTAGAAAAATGTTTTTGTTAATTGCCTCACTATTTAGTTATAGAAAATTTTAAATATAAATCTTTTTATCAATGATGATAAATTGTTCAAAATTTACAAATATAATTATAATATTTGTATGACAATTTTTGGGGTTATTTTTATGATTAGATTTGAATTCTTTAAAAAATCTTTCAAAAATTCTTTACCATAAGGCTTAAACTGAAACAACAAATGCAATAAATAATTATCAGAATGTACACAAAAGATATTAATCATCTGTCTACAAAAAACAAGAGGAGAGATATCCAAATAGAAAAAAATATAGTTTCCAGTTAGAGCCAAATATCTTTCAGTAGCTTAAGAAAAATATTTTTAAAAATTCATTCATGTATTATTGAATCCTTAAGCTGGAATTATCATACAGTATAATGAAGAAAATTCACACCTTTCTCACACTTTCCAGCAATAACTGTTTAATAAATAACGTTTTCAGCTACATTCAGGGGTCAGTGTCAGGTTAAGCTGATATGAAATTGAACATCTACAGCAGGGGTCACAAACTCCAATTTAGCAAAGGGCCAGTCATGTAGATGTATATCAGATGCAGGCTGTATTCAGTATTATTCGGTAAACTAAAACATACTGTAATTTAAAAAAAAAGCTCTAACAAATGTTCTTTTGTTGTCAGGCCTTTACCACTTTGTAAACAGTTAAACATTCAAATTTTTTCTGTTTTAATCCCCACAATATATTAGAAACATTGAGTTTTAGAAAAGAAATCATTGGGGTTGCGGGCCATATATGAAGCA